TAGCACTCGGCTGAGACTGCAAGGGTTAACACGTTGTTATAGCACTAGTCTTTCCCTCTACAATCCAGCAGGGATGGAGGAAGGAGACACAATAGACACATGGCAGCGGTTGGGGGTGGGGAGCTGCATGTCTGTGTGAGACAAAGACACACACCGTGTGACCGTGTGTGTGTGAGAGAGAGACAGACAGACACAGAGACAGAGACGTGCATTGCCCCTTTAAGTACGCTGACCCCATTCTAACTACACTGCCTTTTTAAGTAGATCAGCAAGTTGAGACAGCAGCTGGTGCCAGCAAGCTCCCTCCGTCCTGAGCCCTGTCGTGTCCCCCCACCCGCTCTGTGGAGATGGGGTACAGGAGCGGGGGGAGGTGGACACCCTGACATCAGCACCCCTCTTCCCCCCCACCTGCACAGCAAGCTGCCAAACAAGGTTATAAGGGAGCATTGCACAACTTTAAACCAGTATGTTCTCTAATAAATCACCAATGAAACAAAGTTAACTGGGGACGGTAAGTGAGGAGTTACTGTACCCTTCACTTGAACGGAGACGGGCTGGCTCTTCTCAGATGGGGTTTCTTGCCCAGATGCCCCCCTCCAGTATGCACAACTGTAGGCCCCGGTGGTGGCCAGCTGAGCTGTGAGATGGAGCTGGCCTTCCCTGTAGAGATCAGGGGGTGTTTTGAAGAGCCGCTCCCCACTTTGGTCGAAGAACCGGTACCCCGTCGGCTCTGCAGCCCTGGGAGCCGAGCACCTGAGTGTCAGACGCTCCCCCTCAAAGAACTCTGGGTGTGGGGGGTGCAGAGAGAGTGTGGGGGCTGATAGGGGAGCTGCAATGGAAACACAGAGGTTAGTGCAGAGGGGGAGACCACCGGGGAGTGAGGGGGAGAGGAAATGCGGGAGGAAACCCCGACACAGACCTCCCCCATCCCCCTGCCCATTCCTCCCCCCTCCACACGAGGAAATATCTCAGGGCAGATACAGCACCTCTGGGTACATTAAA